CACGTTTGGTGCGCAAGGCCATCTGAGCCTTGGCCTGCGTGCCGCTTGGGCCAGCAGTCATGGGCCCGAAGGCTCCTGCTGATGTGGCTCGTGCGATTGGTCTTCAACGCCGATGGCTGCGTAGAGGCTTTTTTGTACAAGGCAGCCACCGGCAAAGAGTTTTGGTCGCATCTCCAGAAGCGGGCAGTAGTCCAAGGGGCCATCATCAAGTGCTTGATGTCGTCGAAGCTGGGCTCTGCCACATCCAACTCGCAGCTCAAGCAATGGGGTGCATACCGGCAAGGGAGATGCTGAGCCGTACAAGCTCGGGAGGGTTGCCGGCAAGTGCCTCGCAGCATTGACCGACAAGGCGAACTTCCACGCTGCAGGGAAGCTGATCAGGACGGTGGAGTCAGAGAAGGATGCGCGCAAGTGCTTTTCCACCTTGCACGTGCGTGCAGAGTTCTTCAATTACCTGCTCCATCGCGATTTGCGAGTGCTTCGATGCGGCAAGTTGCCGCCCAGCGATTTTGTCGGGGCCGGTGCCAAGTCTGTTTTGTCAGACTGCTGCAAAGGGTTGGACCTTGAGACAGATGGTGCGCAGCTGAAGGAGCTGGATGCCTGGCTTCAATCTCACTTGCCAAAAAATGGGTTGCCTACATCTGCCCGCGGCTGGGACACTTGCCTCACCCAGCACCAGTGCTGTGAGAAGAGAAGGTGGAGCGAGCGCATCGAGGCCGGCGTTGGAAAACGAAGGTGCCGAGACAATGACCCAAGCTCCGTAGAGCTTCGCCAGAACATTCGTGCTGAGTGCGTTGGCCTGTGCTATCGGGAGTTAGGTTTCACCAAGCGGCCCGTGCGGATGTAAAATCCGGCGCTGGATGGTCAAGCGGTCTTGCTCAAATTTTGAACTTCCACGACACATTGCGCCTGCAGTGTATAGGTAGGGTCAGCATGTAGGGAGCTGGACGCTGTGGCGCCGAATGCTGGCGTACCGCAGACCAGTGCCTTTGCGTGTGCAGCGTGACGCTTCCTTGGCTTGCCTCCCCTCGCTAGAAGCCTGCTCAGGCTGGAAGAAGCTGTCAAGCCGGCCGTTGAACACCGCGCATGTCCACGCTCTCGCCATGAGATTTCTTTTGTGGCATATTCTCTTGGTTTGAGTGGCCCTCCGTCTAGCATGCTTTTGGACCTCCGCGCTGAAAGGTTTCGAGTGCTACGCGCAAGGTAGCCAAGCCCTTGAGCTGTGGGCCCATGTGTGGTGTGTTGGGGTGTTTGGCTTTTGCAGTGCGACGCGCGCGAGCCAGGAAAGGTTTCCAATAAAAGGTAGCCATAATCTTCCTCACCTTGTCTTGTCTTTGGGTGCTGTGCGGATCAGCAGCAGTCGTTCGTTGGGAACGGGTGCTGCTGGTGTTTCATACATATAGACCACGCGTTGCAGACGAAAGCAGCCAAGCTCTCACATCATTTCAAAACGGAGCGCCCCATTTCATTTGCCAAGGCGCTTTTCAGCGTCCTGAGACAGGCCTGTTCTTCCTTAAACGTTGCCGGGTTAAAACGTACAATGGCTGCGCCTCTGTATTTTTGTGGGACGCTGTCATCCGCAATGTGTGTGTGCCCGGCAGGCAGGCAGACACGGTCTAGATGTCATTTCTGTAGTTAGTTTCTGCTCCACAGGCTAACAGGCTAACAGGCTTCATTTGGGACTGCTTTGCTTGCGAAGAAGTGGAGTTGACTTGTGTCTGCCGGCACGGTCTAGGTGATGACCAGCTCTGCGCACACAGCGCCTCAAGCTTCCGTCATGATCTTATCTGGCCAAGTGGCGACTTGTTGTGGTTGCAGGCAGTGCCTTCAAGCCCCAAGTAGCAAACTGCTGAACTCATGAAAGCACCTGCGTCAAGTTTTGCTAGAGAGAGATCATTGGTGATGCAACAGCAAGGGCCCGAGATCACATGCTATCTCATAATAACTGGCACGCATGCAACGTTGGGCAGATTGCAAGTCTGGTTGCAGAAGCCCTGGCATGTGAAGTTTCTGGCTGCCCGAGTCATCTCCAAAACTATGAACTTGGGTCCGCGCGCGCAGTACAGTGTGCTTGTCACCGCGCGCGGGCCCGAGCACTAGCGGGAGGCATGTCAATTGTCAGCATTTCGAGGCGCATCTTTGTTTCTATGTTTTGTTTTGATTCTTTTGTTTGGAGGGGGGAGGCATGTCAATAGTCAGCTTCTCGAGGATGCTTCTTTGTTTCTGTTTGGGGGGGGATGTTTGGTCAGAGAAGTATTGTTTTGTTTCTGAAAGCCATGGGCTGTTTTTCTTTCTCCGAAACAGAGGGGTTCCTTTGCCAGAGCGTCTCCCATAAATGGGGAGACACGATCCCCCAGAAAAAAAAACCCACAATTTTAGCATTTTCTGTGGATGTCTTGCGGAACCTATTTAACATGGACATTTTCGTTTATATCTCATCCTATCCTGTCCACCACAGGGCCCGTCATTGAATTCCGAAGCAACGCTTTTCCGGAGACCC